AAAAGAAACGCAAGGAAAAAATTTAAAAACAAGAAAAACATTGAAAATAGTATGTGTGTGATCAAATGCTTGTTTAAAATTACACATGCAAGTACATGCACACATAGAAAAGAACTGGAAAACGTTATGGCTTTGTGTTCATCAGATTTTCTGTATTAATTTGAGGTTTTCAAATTTTCTACAAGCAACATTACTTTGTATACATTACTTTGTTAATTACAGAATAAGAATAATGAATCAGCGTTATTTTTATAAAAAACAACAACATAGGCTTTAATAAGAAAATGTAGTACTTTAACTATCAAAAAAATCTCTTCATTTTCAAAAACACAGGCTAAATTTCATTTTATTTGCTTAAAAGTAAACTGGTCATGTGACTTTAAATTGAAACTGATTGCCATCAAGTAGAGACCAATTAAGAGCTCACTCTGCAGCAGGTTTTCTGAGGTTCTGAAGACTGTAAATCTTAAAGGAGGTGATTGCCCATCTCGCTCTCCAGAGAGGTGCCCCCTTTGAGTTAACAGCACAACTTCCTACAGACTAGACCACCAGAGATAAATTGACAAGGGTGAAGACTTTCCCTTTTTTCCCAGCCTGAAGGAAACATGGTAGCATGCAAGCACATGCTCAAACACATACACACACACATACACACCACCTCCAGCGTAAATCTTTAAAAGAGGAGAGCAGTATACTCTTTCTCTTATGGAGCGAATGGTGAATTTAAACCAATGACCATTTAGTTAGCCAACTGACATGTTACAACTATACCACCAATGAGCTTTCTACCTTGGAGTAGCTGATGGACTTGAACCATTTGCCTTTGAGTTGGCAGTTCAACTCCTTACCACCAGGCCACCAAGCAGAGTAGTGTCCAGATGTCCTATGAATTACTGCCCCTGTTTCCAAGAGGAAGGTCAGCTACAACAGTTAGCCTCAATGGGCCACAGAACCAAGGAGACAGCAGAACCCTCCAACTCATATCGCAGACCTCATGATGAGTTCTCTCTGTTCTCCTCCACCCCTTTTCTCCTTTTTTTCCCCCTTAAATACCGTCTTTTCTGAGCTTTCTACATTTCCTCTGGGTAATAACAACACGTACAAGCCTGAGCATGCAGACATAAATACACATACTCATGCATGCACACACGCACACACAATCCTGTGCATTGGCCATTTGGAAATTCACTTGAACAGTGGAATGAGCACAGGAAGAACCTTGATGCTCGCCTGCCTCTTTCATTTATTCCTGAGACCCAGCAAATTAGCAGATTTCTCTGAGTTTATGTTCTTTCCTTTGGAAAATAGTGTCTGTAGGGATGAGATGTTGAAATTTAAAAAGAAAAAAGAAAGGTGTTCAAGAGGTGGTAGGAAAGACAATTTCAGTAAAGGTTAATTAATATATGCAAATTAATATCTTGTTTCCATAGCCCTAATAAATTATAGCAAATAAAATTGTCAAAAGAGAGAAAGTGTTCAGGTGAAATAATATTGATTATATATTTTTTTTTTCATCATGTAGTTTTTCTGGTGACTGGAATGCATTCAAATAAAGAAATGACAAAGAAGATTAAAAGGCCAAAATTCAGTAAGTAAAATTCAAATACCTCACTAGGCATAAGATTATTTCCAATGTGGAGGGCCAGAGTGTTAGTTTCAGATAACTTGGAATATTTTTTGCTTTTGTTTTTTAGTTTCTATTGCAATTACTTTACATTCTAACTAATCAGTGGTTAATTTTATTTGTTAGAGAACTTATTCTAAAAAGAAAGAGTTTGATATTAAGGTAAAAGGCATAGTTCCATATCATTCAAGAACACAAAATGTACATATAAAAAACAATATTATATGCCATGGTTAACCCAAACGTGTATTTTCCCTATACCATAAAATTCAGTCTGGGGAGCTCTGGTGGCCTAGTGGCAAGAAGCTGCAACTATAATCCCAGAGGTGCACGGTTCGAATCCACCAGATGCTCTGCCAGGGAAGGAGGGACAATCTCCTCCTGTACCAGTCATATTTGATTTGACGGTACACGCACACAAAAATAATAAAATTTTTAAAAAAAATTCAGTCTGCCTCCTAAAAAGACCAACCAACTCTCCCCAGAAAAAGCCCATGGGATTTTATATGCAATCAGTAGAAAATTATTTTAATCTTTAGACAGTATACCAGTTTAGAGCAGATGACAGAAATTCCAAAACAACAAGCACTTAAGTTAGAAGAAGCCTATTTCTTTCTCCCATAAACAATATCTGGGCTATCATGGACACTGCACAACATTTAGGAACCCAGAGTGTTTTCTCTTGTTTTTCTGCCACTCTCAACATGGCTTCTCCCTTGTGATCTAGAGTGGTTACTCCAGCTCCATCCATTATGTCCACATCCCTTCATTCCAGGAATGGATGAAAAAGTTCACATACCCTTTAAAAAATACTTCCAAAACTTGGTAATAGCGCTTCTTCCAATAATAAAGGGGACTAAGAAATAGCTTTATTTCAAGCAGCCATGTACTTTGTAAAAGTAAAAGCTCCTATCACTAATGAAGAGGGAACTATAGATGTTTGGGGACATAGATGGACATAATAGATAGAGATGGGAAATGTCACATCAACTATTGTGAACACCCTGGAATATCTGGATCCAAATTTTTAGCTCGATGAAAACTTGAGTTAAGAAGAATTTATAAAAGACTACTAAAGAAAGACTTTATGTATCTGTGCTATTCACAACGGAAACTATTCTTAGAAGCATTACATTTAAATGCCTTTAAATCAGCAACATGAGTAATTTGAAATAAATGAAAGATATTTACTTGAAACATCACCTTTTTTTAATCTGTGTCTTTTAATGGTACATGTGGGGTTTTCCATAGTCTTCTTGCCTGAAACACAAAAAAGAATCAGTTTATTCCTTTCAGCACCAAGAGCCAAGAGGACTGGGCCAAGGGCAGATGTGTGTTCAAACAATGATTGGGTTAATGTGGAGACAAACGCAGTCCAAGTATGAATTCCTCCGGGCTGTTTTCAGTCTCTTCATTAACTCATATACAAAAAGTCATGAAAGGTTACGTGATTACCATGACAACAGCTTTCAGTGACTATGAAGGCTGTGTTAAATGACCCCAGGACAAACCTCTTTGTGGGATCTCAAATGGATTGGGTTTCTGAAATGCTAAATTCTAACCTTATTCTCCAAGTCTCCTGAGTGATGGATGTAGCACATTTGAATCAATAAACGCATAAAGTCTTCTCTCTAATTAGAAACTCCAGCACAGACATTAAATAAGGGAAAAAAGATATCATGAAGGAATTGGATAGTCCCAAAGCAAAGTAAAATCTGATTCTTGACCTCAAGAGTATTATTAAATCATAATCTATAGCTTGGTAGCTTGAGACAAAAATAATCTTTTTTTTCCATTCAACATTGGAAATAGGTTGCTAGGATAGGTGATTGAAGGCAGTAACAGCACATCATTCATTCATTGACAGTATTTGTTGGGTCTTGGTCACACACTGGATACTGTGCTAGGCATCAGAATATAAGTGTCTAAAACTCAGAGCTCAACTAAAACTGTGGCCCCATAAAGCCAGGGCCTTCACCTAGGCTTACTGGTGGTATGGCGGTTTAGGGATGCAATAATAGGCAGAACTGAAAGAGTTTTGTGACGTTAGTTCAGAGCTATGAGGCAGGCACCATGAAGACGGAAAGTCAGATCATTTGCAAGCACGCCTGAGAAACTATTTTATCTGAAGAATTATCTCCACAGTGCTTTTGGCCTGTGTGTTAATCTGTTACTTCTTTAATAAACCCCACAATTGTATTGTCTGTGAATTCTGTCTGGCCAAAAAGTAAACCAATTAGTAGTGTGTTGATGTTATGTGCTGTCGAGTCATTTGCGACTCATAGCAACCCTATGTACAACAGCCCTAAAATCTGCTCTATCCCTTGCCAATATCATTGTCTCCAACATGCCTATCCCCATTATCCCAGTGATAGAATAAATCTATCTCCTCGAGGGTCTTCCTCTCCTGTGCCATCCCTCCACCCTTCCAAGCATGACATCCCTCTCCAAGGACTGGTCCCTCCTTGCAACATGTCCAAAGTATGTCAGACAAAGCTTCAGAATCCTTGCCTCCAAGGAGCAGCCTGCCTTCCCCCCTCCAGTACGAACTTATTTGTTCTCCTAGCAGTCCATGGAATATTCAATACTCTTCTCCAGCACCAAAGATCAAAGGTACCAATTCTCCTTCTATCATCCCTAGTCTTTGTCCAGCTCTTTAATGCATAGCAAGTAATGGCAAAGACCATGGCCTTATTAGGCACACCTTAGTGTCCAGACTGACATCGTCGCTCCTCAGTACTTTGGAGAGGTCTCTGACAGCAGACTTTCCCAGTGCAATTCAACTTTTAATTTCCTGGCTGCTGGTACCAAAGTGTTGATTATAGAGCCACTAAAGCTGTCAACAATCTCAATCTCGTCACCATCTATCATGATGCTGCCAATCAACCCAGTAGTGAGAATTTTTGCTTTCTTGATGTTGAGCTTCAATCCATATTGAAGGCTGCAGTCCTTGACCTTCCACAGCAAGCGCTTCAGATCCTTCTCAGTTTCAACAAGTAGGGTTGTGTCATCTGCATAACAGATTGTTGATAAGTCTACTTCCAATCCTGATGCCACACGTCTCCTCATAGAGCTCAATCTCCCGGATAATCTGTTCTGCTTATAGATTGAAAAGAGACGGAGATAGGACACATCCTTGACTCACACCCTTCCCAAATTTGAACATGCAGTTTTCCTTGCTCTGTTCTGATGACTGCCTCCTGGTCCAAGTATAAGTTTTGCGTAAGCAAAATCAAGTGTTCTGGGATGCTCATTCTTCTCAAAGTAGCCACAATTTGTTGTGATCCACACAGTCAAATGCCTTTGCATAGTCAATGAAACACAGATTGACGTTCCTCTGATATTCTTTGCTCTCAGCCAAGATCCATCTGACATTAACTAGTGCCACAGCCACTACCTGTGAAAATACAGGAGGAAGGATTGTTCTAAGAATTAGTAGAAGAATGTGCAAGCTCATAGAAAGATACCTGATCTCATAGGAATCAGTTTTGTGTTGTTAATATTGATTATGGGAACTTTTTGTGGAATCAGTAGCGGTAAACCACTGCTTTTGTTCTGTCAAACTCCTTACAAAGTGACACAACTAAACTGATATTTAAAGGTCAAGTAAGGATTGGCAAGATATAGCCATGGGGAAAAGTGTTACAAGTAGAGTGAACACAACAGGTTCAAGATCTGGAGACAAGAGGTAAAAGTAGTGAGATATGACTGAAATGCAGAGTATAAGGAAATAGTATTAAGATGAGAGGTAGAGAAGTAAGCAGGATCCAAATTATGAAAGGCTTCATTATAGATTTTGGGAATTTTCACAAAGAATAAAATAAAAAGGAATACATAATTTGATATTTTTGGTGAATGATCAGTTTACAGACCACTCATATGAATAAACAGCCACTCTATACATGGACCTTACCTAATGAACTTCATAGGAATCAGATTAACAACACCCTTGGAAGGAATCAGAAGAGAAACTCTATATCAGGAGTCAAAACTAGACTAGATGCTGACTATAGAACAGACCACAAATTACTCCTATGCAAGTTTAAATTTAGGATGAAGAAAATGTTAAAAGTCAACAAGAATCAAAATATGTCCTTGAATCTATTTCACATGACTTCAGTGGACAATCTGGGAGGTGGGGGTGAAGGAATGGGAAAGAGCCAATTCGGACATGAAAAGATAGGGAAATGGTAGGCATAAATTAATGGTAACTGATACATAGTATATATAAATGATTGCATAAAATGCAAAGTGAATGAAGGAATGTTTGAAGTACAAAGTATATAAATGAAATACAACATCTATGAATCTTGTATAAAAACCAGTATGTAATTTTTTTTTTAAAGCACAAAAAGAAATCATCTTAAGAATAGGTTTCAGGACTGCTCTGTCAACTCCGCCATGCTGTTCTGTTCTGTGCCAGGAGCACCAGTATCACAGGTGAAGCCATTTCTTTTCTGAACATCACCTTGGTACCTCTGGTCTCTCCCAGAGCTCTTTGAGCTGCAGAACCTTTGGACCATTCCTAGCTGTGGTAATTACCTGGTCGAGAACATTCCCATTTTACAAGCCATTTCTCTCTCCAACTGAAGAAATCTTTCCTGAGGTAAAAAATCAGAGAAATTCGAGAATAGTGAGCTTCCCTTTCTTGCTCTGGAGCAGTGAACTCCTGAGCCAAGTTTATCAGACCAAGGATACACTGAGACACCAGGCATAAAAAACTTTCTACTACAACAGTGACGCAGAAAAAGCAGATAACCTCACACTCTACACAAAACCAAAATAAGATGTTGTTGTTGTTGTTGTTATGTGCCGTCGAGTGGTTTGCGACTCATAGCGACCTTATGCACAACAGCCCTGAACCCTGCTCTATCCTGCGCCAACCGCACCGCCTCTGACACACCCATCCC